ATATAAAAAAATATATTATTTGTTTATATTTTATTTAAAATTATATTTATATTTTATTTGAAATATTTTTTGCATGAAAATATTTTAATATAAATGAATTATATAATTATTTGTAAAAAATTTTCAATTCGCTCAAAGAGTACTTGAGATATGGTGAAATGGCATGGCAAAATAGAAATTAGATAGAAATAGATTAGATAGAAATATATTGAGATATGGCAAAAAATAAAATGAATATTAAGTGTTTAAAATTTGGGCCGCTCTCCAGACCATACTACTAGTGTAACCATATTTCCCAGATTATGGCCATCCTTATAATTCGGAGGTTAGAAATCAGGTTCCGTTGAAAAATGCATGTTTCTTTAGAGAAATCATGTTTCATGTTCATGTTTGAGTCATGTCTAATTTGGTAATATAAAATATCATCTGCACTAATTAATGAATATATTTGAGTTCATCCCCTCCAAACCATTAAGATCGAGCTTGAGAAGTGGAAGATCCGATCATTAAATCAAAAATTATTCAGAATAGTCTTTTTTTCTTCTTTTTTTTTGCCCGTTGTATTTAAAACTTTGACATTAATCAATTTATTTTTATTTACTTAGTATAAGTGAATATATATGGTTATACCAAATTATATCAATACGATGGTTGAATTTAATATGAATTCTATGTGATCATTTTGAGAAATTGTTTTGCTTTTTTTGAAAGAATGAAGTGATTTGATCAGTATTTTTAATCTTGTAAACCATATAAATAACGCTACAAAACTACGTATATATATTTTTTTTCCTTCCTCTTCTCTAAAAGAACGGATCGATAATTTCGTAATCAATAACGTTTTTAAGGATGCTCTCTTCTTCGAACATCTGAACGTGGCAGGTCACCATTTATTACGGTATTTATTCTATTTTTTTCTTCTTTAAGCCTCTCTGTCTTTTCGCCTCTTCTTGTTTTCTTCTTCCCTATTTTCATTTTTCTTTTACTTGCGATTTTTTAGACTTTTCCTTTTTTTTCTTCGTTGGGTGCGGGACGTATTTCTAAATTTCTCCTGTGACTTTAACTGTCCATTCGAATCTTTTGTTCCTTATCGTAAGCTACTCTGGATCTTGGATCAGGAAAATAGATAGGTCTATGGATAAAACGCAATAAAGTTTACAAGCACAAATCTGCCTTTTTTCCACAGCGCCGGCTTGGCTATAAAATAAAGCTGCTTTATATATCAATTCGAGAAGAAAAAAAAAGATTTCAAATTACTTTGCTTGTTAGGAAAACTAGAGAAGCTAAAATAATGGTTGTTTGTTTGTGACTGGTTTGGGTTCCTTATAAAGAATATTTTCTCTTAAATATAGCAGTAGATTTTATAGAGCGCATAAAGAAGAATGGGCAGCAAAAATAACTATCTTATTCTGTATTTTTTAAAATTATCTAACATTTTAGTTTAATAAAATGCTTAGAATTTGTTTAAAAAACAACTATATATTTATAAACTTAAGAGGTTCTGATAATTAAAAAGAATATGTTCTTTTTAGAAGAAATTTATATTTTGTTAGATGTAGAAGAGAGTTGGTAGTAAAAATAATTCCATTAAAGCAATTTTGTTAAAATTTTCCCTTATTTCAATCTTATAAACTGACTAACGTATCTAACTCAGACAACTGACTTAATAAAATTATTAAATTACCAAATTTTATAACATGTCATAAAATCATATTTTATTGTTAATTTAACCAAAATCATTATCATAGTGCTTTGGTAAAAATTAGCGAGCTTTTTGGTGCTTCCATAGAGCCAGAAATACGGTAAGCTTTACCATACCCGGGTAGTTTTGACCTTACTTTTCTTTTCTCAAAGGATAAACTACTTACCAATTTTGCTTTATATACTCCTTTGTTTTATATACTCCAAAATTTTAATAAGCTATTTAGCATTAGAGTTTAACAATATATCATTTTAGTCAATTTTGTATTATTTTTCTTTTGATTTAAAAAATATAAGTTTGCAAAACTATGATATATCATCAAAGTATAGAGAATTTAAAACGTATTTTGAAAACATAGACTGCAAAGAGTTGTGTTTATTATTATTCAGTAGGAATTTTGCGATAACGTAACTAATGTAAGCTTTAAAGAACATTTCAAATAAGGAACTACGCCAAAAATGGAGTCAAGCTTCATGTAACCAAATTGGTAGCAGGTTATTTAAACTTTCAATCAAAACCTTAATTATGCAAGTAAAATTCTATTAATCTAAATATTTAGTAATTTAGTTTAATGCTAATAGTTATGCTTTTAATTAATCGTGAGTAATGTCAAATTATGATATTATTCGTTTTGCCATTTTTATAAATTAATGCGTGAAATATCATAAAATGCAAAATAACCAGAATCATGAATAATAAACACCAAAAAAATATTGAAAACTTTTAAAAGAAAGCGTCAGAAAATATTTATTGCATTGAAATACAAATCCTTTGAAACTATCAACATTTTAGTATCATATATCACTCTTTACAAAAAACGTTAAAGCTTCCATTATATCTCTTTTGACATTTGACCACATTGGCGCCAATTTTCTAAGTCAGCATTTTCATTTCTCAATTCATTTTTTTTTTCAAACTAACTTAATCGAATTTTTTTGAATGAAGAGAAAAATGATTTTCAGATATTTATGTTTTCAGGAACGGAGATTATTTAAAATAATTCCGATGGTGTTGAGTTATATGAGTTGATATTCTTCTCTGCTTATGTTTCAGAGCATTTAAGATCTGTGCTGAGAGACAATATATCATGTTTTACGCAAATAGGTTGCAGCGTATCAGTGTTGCCGCTACAGGGACAGTGTAGATCTTACGCACTGTAGTAAATTAATATCGCGTGTGCGTTGAACTAGACTTCATACCGCGGTTGATAACGTACAGCCTATAATGCTGACTATTTTTCTCAATGGGTAGAAGTGTTTTCAACAGGATAATGCATCTAGTAATCCAGCTTGTGTTGAAAAAGATTGGTTTGGAGAACATGGTGGTTGCTTCACTTGGTTGCTTTGGCCTCCACTATCTCTAGATCTAAATCTTAATGAGAAATCTACAATACAAAACAACTGAGGAAATTCATTGGATGATTTGACGCTATGTATGTACTTAAGAGGTTCGTACTTAAGAATCTTGAAGATTTCGGAATTTTTTTAAGATTAAAAAAAATTAATGCAATTATTTTGTTTCTAATGAGAAAATTTATGTTTCTATACAAATCAGAATGCTAGGTATTCCTCCAAAAGCTGCCGAAACTTGCTATGCATCATATTTAAATTTTTTTCCAACTTTTTAAGCAATATACGATTAGTTCATCATTTATTTTTAGTAGCGTGTTCAGAGTTTCAATAAAAAAGTTGCAAACCATTTCTTTCATATTTCCTTCCTGAAAAAACTGTATACTGTATTCAGATATTTCGAATTTTTTTCTGATAAAAGCTGACGATTTCTTATTGAATTAGAATGAAACCTTTTGCTGGAGTCACGCAAGCACCCTTATCTCTTTCATTTTTTATGGTTTATGTGCATTTCGAGAGGAAATGCTGAAGATGATTAGGTATCATCTCTTTCTTTAAAACACTTAATTTCGAAAGTTAAGTACGAGTTCAATATAACACATTTATAATTTCTATTATGAAGCATTATTTCTCAAAACACTATTTAAAAACTAGAGATCAGTAAAGTCCTTGAATTAAACTGGTTAAATAAAAATACAGAAGCAACATCCACTCCTACAGTTAACTGATACTATAACTGTGGTCATGGTTACGGTTGTAATTTAGCTTATTGGATTTTAAACTCTTTCCCTCAAAACCCTCTTCTTTTGTCGGTGTTTTTGACCTTTCGTAAAATAACTAAAAACTTAGAAGTGACATCCATTATTTCATCTAGTTTATGTTTAATACCTGTTAGAGTAGTACGGTCACAGTTATAGTTAAAAGTTCACAAAATTAATTCTTTCACATTTGTAGTAATGAATTTCATAACTTTCAACACTTCAAAAATTTTTAATTTTTGAAGTGGCTAATTTTATTTTCGGGTAGGTATATGCCCTCTCGTTAGCGCCACGTGTTTCCTTTAACTCCTCCTACATTATTTTACCGATTTTTTTTACAGTTTATATGACTTTTGAAAGGAAGTACTTAGGTTGGATAATTATTCTCTCTTACTTTCAAGCATTGAGGTACAAAAGGTCGAGTTCAGTCAAAAACATTTGCTATCTCTCTTGCAAAAAATGATTTGCCGTCAGTTAAAACTTTTTAAAAACTAGGGATCTATGAATTAAATTGATTTAATAAAAATGCGGAAGTGATATCCATAACTGAACTGCAGGGTAAATACCTGTCACTATAAGTGTGGTCACGGTTATGGTTAAAAGGTTGCAACTCAGTTCATTCACATTTGATCCTGAAAAACGACAGCCAGCAGTTGGAATTCAGCAATTTTTGTCGAGGTCGTCGGGAAGCCTCTGCAAAAAGGAAGGACTTTTGCAAAAAAAAGGAAGGGGTTGTATAAGGCGTCATCCCTTTTTACTCCTTTCTACACTACCAAAAAAGGGCCCCTTTCACAGCTGCCCTGAGGCCCCTTTGGCACACGCGGGCAGCACGTTCATACCCGGATGCTGAATAGACAGCTGAACAGGAAAGAACCACCCCAACTCTTCCCTCTCAAGCTCTTTTTAACTCCCTATCCCCCCCTTTAGAACATCCCTTTTTTTAAAATATAGTTTGAGAAAGGGGCGCGCGCGAGAACTTTCGCTAAAACTTCCCCACTGATGGTGAAAACCTTCCACTTCCTACATGTGTAGAGTCCCTATATACATTTTCTGCTACCAACTGTCGAATTTGCAGTTAGGGACAAACTGTTAGAAGAGATTTAGTTTTGTTTTTCAAATTTCACTCTTTTTTTTCGAGTTTTCGGGATATGTTGGGGGTTTTGGGGGGCAGAGAGGTACTGACTTGTTGGTAGTTCCTCCTCCGGGTTTTTTTTTCCTATAAACTTTAGTCCTTTTCAAGTTCAGTTTTTAAAATTTTGTCAAATTTTAGACAAGGGTTAGTGTCGAGTTGAAAGTGAATGTAGTTGGGTGGTGGCGTGAACTTATGAAGAGGTCGTTGTGCTCTGTACTTATCCTACTGGATTTCACTTAGTTTTTAAAATGTTTTACGCGTGGAGCATGTGTGTTAGATTGTTTATAGGAGGAGTTATTCAGAAATAATGTGTAAAATTGTTTATTGGTGATTTATCAAGGAAAAATTGTGCTCTGCTGTAAGTACATAACTATAAGTTTATTTTTATAACTTGCATAAAATTATATGAAGAAAAATTTTGGCATAAAATATTTTTGGAAAATTTATGAGCCTGTATCATAAATGAAAATGGGCGGTAATTAATTGAAAAAAATGCAAGCTGCTAAGTTAAAGTAGATGTTTCAAATCTGTATATATATTTAAAATTTTAAGTTGCAAAAAATAATCTTGAAATCTATGAAAACAATTAAAAAGATGTCTTCGATAATTATTCAATAGTCATGATTTTGGATTTCACTAAGTCTATTAGTTGTTTTTATATGCAGAAAGTGTATTTTAGGTTGTTTATAGTCCCAGATGTTCATTAATAGTATATAAAATTGGTAAATGCCTACTTTTTAATAAAATATAATTTTATTGCGGTCCATCTTTTTAAGGTTTTTTCTTTATTTTTTAAGAAATCAGAAATTTTCTTTATTTTTAAGTAAAAAATTGAACTATGGTAGAGTTTTGTTTATTTATTATAAAATTGCTATAATATTATATTATTTACGATAATATTTAAAATGTCAAGTGTGAAAATATAAATACATGAAATAAAAATTTAAAGGGCACTGAAGGAAATTTTCCTTTGGGAGGAAATAGCACTCCGGTATAAAATGACAAATAACTCTATTCAATTTATTTTATAATATGGGTTTTCATAACTATATAGCTAACATAATCGGTTATTTACATTTTCTTATTTCTCAGAGATTTCTCAGAGTTCAATAACTTTTGAACAATCTAAGACTGACATGTATTTGGAAATAAAATAATGGCCCGATATTCCAATTATATACATCAAAATTCATTTAAAAAAAGAACATTTTGCATATTCAAATCAAATGCTTGAAATTCGGATCTTTTGATAATTTTTTTCCCCTCCAAATAATCTTATCCCAACTTTTGTCTCATGTAAGGTCGATAAATTGATATATTTCCGATAAATAATTGATTGTTATTAAATAATATTATTTAATTCATTTCCAAATATGGCTTTTAGTAAGTATATAACTGATACCCTCTTTAATTCACATTTCCCTATTTCTCAGATAGTCTCATAGTTCAATATCTTTTAAACAATCTTAGACTGATATATATTTCCAAACAAAATAATGGCCGAATATTCCTATTATATGCATCAAAATTCAATTACACAAAAAAGAAAATTTTGCATATTCAGGTCAAATGCTTGAAATTCAGATCTTTTGATCATTTTTGTTTCCTCTCCAAACGATCTTATCCCAACTTCCTTTTGTCTCATTTAAGAAAGCTAACAATAATTGCAGTTACAGTGAATAACAGTATCGTTAATATTCATCGTTCCTCCCCGTTAATAAGTGAACATTCACGGTTATCTTTCCTCCAGAACTGAATTAACGAAATTTTCAACTTTGTCAGATTCGACACTATATCGTATAGGAGCCCATGAGAGAGGCATTTTATATTCATAGTGATTATAATTTCGGTTTTCCTTCTGTTAGGGTTCAACTTATCTTAAATTTATGCAAATATTTAAACTCGGTGAACATGCCGGACTCATGATTGCGATTCCAAAGTTGGCATCACCACTCTTTGTATTCTCATCACGTGATGTATAAAGGTGCCGAACAGAGGGGATCAAATTTGAGAAAGGCGCATTGACTGTATTGTAATAGTGTTATCTGATCACACTTTTCAGTTAGCAACTTTCAATTCTGTCTTTCAGAAAAGATCATGTGACTTACTACGTACATATATTTCTGCCATTTTGCATTGTTCTAGGGGTTTTAATTTTAATGATTTTTGACTGTTAGAAAACTAAAGCAAATTATTATGCATATGGCTGAAGTTTTAATAAACTAAAAAATATATTTACAGAGCGCAAACATCATCAGTTAGTTTTGAATTCCATTCAAAAGTAAAGATGGTTCTGGAGTTGAATGTCAATGCTGACTTACCTTAATGTCAAACTTTTCGTGCTCTACACGTAGAGAAAATGTGCCAAAACATCTCACAGTTAGCCTAAAATATGCGGTAATTGATGTATTTTATCCTTTAGTTTTAAAAATATCACTTATTAATCATGTGTAGTTTAAAGCAAATGACTACGAAGAATAAAAGTTTTATTATTAATTTTTTTTTCTTCAGATTTTTGAGTTTTAGAAGTTACGGGATAAAATAAAAGTATATTATGGTTAATTTCTTAATTTATCCTATTTTACCCTAACACAACGTAAGATCAATATTTCAGCAACATTTGTATTATTTCAATCTACTGTAATTGCGCAATCTTAAACTCGCATAATATAAAAAATAAATTTTTCTTGAATTTCCAAATGCAATAAAAGACCAATATTTTAACAACGCTAGTAAAGTTTTAACCAACTACAATTTTGTAAGTATTGCGTTTTAGACTCCGATTATGAATATAAAACTTTTGATGTAACTTTATATTTATCTTACGCCGACCGGCCTGTGTAGGGGTTAGGAACTGTAGTTGCATCAGAAAGGTTCTGGGTTCAAATCCCGGGCAAGGCATGGATGTTCTTTCCTTCCCTGTACTATCTGTTCTTACTGTGGGAGCAACGTTGGCCCACCTACTACGAGCTTAAAAGAGTGGCCCCTGAAAGAGTGGCCAGCAAATATGCCCTTCAGATGACTGTATGACCTAGGTCCTTATCCAGATGGGCATTAGAAAAAAAATAATATTTATCTTACAATTCAATTTAGATGACGTTTTTCCTTCACGCAAAACGAAAAATAAATAAATAAATAACGATGAAAAACCATTATATGAAACAGTTTGCAAGGAAAAATTTGTCTGTGCTACATAAATATTTAATTGATCGAAAGTATATAAAATTTTTTATCTCAATACTATATACAAAATTAAAATTCTTTAACCTCAAATCTAAATTTAAGAGCTGTGGCTGCTCAAAGGATAGAAGTCTCACCTCTCAATGGGGTGACCTGGGTTCGAATCCTAGCGATGGCTGGTCGATATGAATCTCCAGCTCACACCAACCACGGTACTGATGTAAAATATTCTCAATGGTAGACGGATCGTGGGTTAAATTCTCTTTGCCATCAGGCAAGCCGCTCGAGGTTTTAGTGGTCTTCCTCTTCATGTAACGCCTATGTAGGTTATTTTCGTCAAGAAGTCCACCACGTAGCTAAATTTCTCCAAATATTTGATCTAGGAGTTTCTTGTTTTCTTGATTGTGTTCGAAATTACAAGGCTACAGAGTTTAACATTGGAAGTCGTAAACTAAGAAACTGGATTAAAATTGATAAAAAAAATTCTAGATTTAAAGTAGTTTTGACTGTAAATTCCTGATATGCAAGCTGTTAATAAAACTAAAAACATCCCTAATAAAAATACGAAAAATATTTTTCTAGGAAGAAATTGAGTGACAAAATGAACAATGTGCATATATGTACATGCATAATATTTTATATTATAGCCTATTTGGTCTTGTATACTTAAACCATACATAACTCCATGCAAAAACAAAATGAAGAAATGGGCCATAAAACAACAGCAGTTACGGAAGACTTTTTTTCTTCTTTCTCCATTTCAAATTACATCAAAAATGATAACTACCTTAATGCTCATAACCAAAGTTTCAACGTGTCATAACGTGTTGTTTTTCCTGGAATTTTCCAGGAAGAAGCAATATCACGCCTTACTGGAAAAATCTCTGAATCTCACTGTAAAGATCACAGAAAAACTTTTTGAAGAGCCAATTTTACTTAGTATAATTACACTTGGTACCTACAAAAAGTGCAGTTGTAGTTTTGCAGTTACTTGCATACCTAAGGGTAGGTGTTCACTAGTGGAAATAAAAAAAAAGTTTCTGAATGGAACATAAAGCAGTTTTTCTAACGAGTTCGAAGAAAATCGTTTTATGAGTTGAGCAGAACATTATAAAGGAATGTTGAATACGTATTCTATAAGCACCGAAAATATTTATTTCTTGGTAAGCTCTCTTTAGAAAATAAGTTCCGAAAAAATGTCTGAATTAAAAAAAAAACAAAAACAAATTACAGCAGTCGTTAGTATTAGCTGAATAATTTTCATTAACATTTTTATTTCGCTTCACAGAACAGTAGTAAAAAACGCGATGAAAAACAAAGTTTTTACCTGCTTTGGTTCAGATTAATTTTTAAAAACACATTTTGAAATACGAATACAGAGCATAAAATTTCATACATTTTAATATGTATCTGTACAGTATTAATGCAGTTTAAGAAGTGCAAAATAAACTAATACAGTAATAAATTGCCCCTACATTAGTGTATTCGGAACCTATTGAAACTGCACCAGTTACCATAATAACAGTTATACCTATTAACAAAACAGATTTATCATCAATGAAGTTATTAATAGGTATGGCGATTTTTTACTTTTCTCCTAAACGAAATAGTACGATTTCTCCCATCATTCTCCTTTTAGTATATATCTTATTTTTTTATTTCAATTCGCACCTATTACCAAAATTAATTAGCATATTTGGCGTAAATAATAATTGAGCAAATTTTTACTCTTCTCTTAAATCGATTATTATCATTTCTCCCTTAATTTTTCTTTTTAGTATATAGTTTATTTTTCTTACTTCAATTGGTAACTATAACTAATGCAAAAACTAATTATGCAAGACATCTATAATAGTATGGTAACCTTTAAACTATCCTTCTAAACCAAAAAAAGTACCTTTTCTCCATTAACTTTGTTTTTATTACATAGGTTACCTTTTATTTTGATTAGAACTTATTACAAAAATTAACTAAGGAACATCGGCGTCGAAAATAGTTTTGGAATTTTTACTGTTCTCCTAACTCATTTTTCCATAAATTTTTTTTTTTAGTGGGTAGCTTTTTTTTCAGGTAGCACCTATTACCAAAATTTATCAAGGATCATTGATGTTAATAATAGTATGACAAATTTAAACGTTTGTTCTAAATGAAATAACACTATTTAATAATTAGTTTCGA